CGTTGGGCTGCCAAGGGACTGCCAGAGTCTCTCAGAGATGATGGTGATATCTGAGGCAGTGTCCAACTGTAGAAGAACTGCATGGCCATTGAGCAAGACATCAACAAATTTTCTACGACCAGACGCACTGAGCTGGAAAGCGGCCAAGAGACTCAGAGAATTACCAACGGACTGGGGTTTGGGCTTGCGTTTTGGCCGGAAGCGGTGCCTGGAATTAGGAGTGGCGGGGGCTGGCTTGCCTCCAGAAGCTGGTACTGATTTGCAGAACCCATCACGGTGTCCCACCTGATTACAGCTTTGGCAGCGGTGCTGGCGGAAAGTGCAATCCCGGTGGAAATGCCACGCGCCACAGTGCCGACAAGGAGATGGCGGAGATCTCGACTTGGACACTTGCTTGGGCCGTGTAACAGGATGCGATCTGGTCGATGTGACCGTATGGACTGAGAAAGATGAGGCAGGGTTCTGAATCATTGCAGAGTCGTGCTTGAGATTGATCAGCGTTTGGCACTCTGCTGCCAGCTCTTGGAGTGTGGTAGAGTTGTTCTGCTGCACTTTGGACAGGAGACGTGTCAGGATATCAGCATCCTTGGGGGACTGGAGGCCGCAGATAAATATAAGGCATTTAAACTGGTCTTCAGGGAGAGAACCGAGTTGGAAACGCCCACATTCACGATTAACAATGCCCGCATATGTGATGAAATCATCGGAATCTCGTTTGCACAGTTGCAGACACTGAAATCGAGTGTTGAAGAGGGATGATTGCTCACCAAAAATCTGCGACAACGTCACAACCGTGTCCTTGAAAGCGACCTCTCGGGGATTCTTGGGGAGGATGAAGTTTGCATAACGCTCGTGTTCAGCCGGACGCAGTTTGCGAAGTAGGAGTCGAACCTTCCATGCATCGTCCTGGGCAGCCAGATCGACAGAAAACAAGTCCTCGTATCGTTTGTACCAGGACTCAAAGGTGATATGGGCCTGCGGGTCATACAGGAATTCAGTGATGCTGCCGGCAATGTGATCAACAGATTGTGAACCACCAGCCGCGCTTGATTGGCCCATGGATGAATTGGATAGCTTGACGGTCAGAGCCTCCATCAGCTTCAACTGCTGCTGCAACATCTGCTTCAAGTCACCGTACTCGTCAGCCATTGTAGTTGAAAAACTGCGTCGCCAATTTGTTATGACCCGCCTGGTACGTGAAATTCTGTGGAGCGTATGCGCACTCGACCCTTGTCCCCAATACCAACGCGGCAGAGAAGGAGAACGCGACCGGCCACGAAACTGTGTATTAGGAAAATGCAAGTCAAAATGAACTGGAAGTGACGCGTATTTATAACGCCTTACGGTGCTTCGCCGGCGTTCGGCCCAATGCCCTTCGGGAAGAACATTCAAGACGAGCCGGTCGATAATTCGAATATGCTGATCGATCAGGCCCGCGAGGAAACGCCAATGGAGAGGCGCCACGATTAAGATGACAGCGCAGTAGAGAAAACGCACGTGGCCTCCCGTGATTGGCTGGCTCTTGTTTTTGGGAGTGTAGGCACTCCCAACACCAACTCAGCTTATCAGGCGTCTGGAGCAACAGGCTGAGGGACAACAGCTAGACGGCACCATGTTCAAGCAGCTTTTCCTCCAACGGCTGCCCTCCTCAGGACAAGCTATCCTTGCACCCGATATCCCTTCCACACCAGTTCAAACACTGGCCGAGAAAGCTGATCGGATACTCGAACATTATCAATCAGCTACTTCGGTAAATTTTTCTACTCGGGTTTTAACGGCACCTACCATCGACGATGTTGTCATACGCCTTGATGTCCTCACTCTCGAAGTTTCCCATCTCCGGGCCATTCGTGTCTCTAACCCTCGTAGTCCTGCAATTACTTGCCGTCCGAGATCTCCCACTCCAAACCAATTTACAGTTGATAGTTTCTGTTGGTATCATCACAATTATGGTTCTAACGCCCATCGCTGCCGCTCTTCGTGCAAGTACAAGGCACCTGCGTTGGAAAACGTCCCTGCCGACTAGTAAAGGTGACGAACGTTGTCGACTCATCCTCTCCCAGTCGCTTACTCCACGTCTATGACAGGACTTCCTGTCGTAATTTTCTCGTGGATACTGGTGCGGAGATCGGTCTTATCCCATCCACTTTGACTGACCATAAGTCACCGAACTTCATATTTCTCCAAGCAGCTAACAAGTCTTCTATTAAAGCTTTTGGTCAACGATCCCTTACGCTGGATTTAAGTCTAAGACGTTCATTTTATTGGCTACTTACTATCGCTGATGTTCATACTGCCATTCTCAGCGCTGATTTCATATCTTTTACGGTCGTCTCGTTGACATCAAGTCCCATAAATTACTTGACCCTAAGACTTCTTTACACTCTCAATGTTCCACTCGTACCCTTTCATCATCATCTAATCCACGCATTTCAACAATCCCTTCGTCTACTCCCTATCGTCGTTTACTTTTGGAATTCCCATCTATCACACAACCCTCACAAGTAAACCAACCTATAAAGCATTCTGTTGTACATTATATTTCAACTACTGGACCACCCGTGTTTAGCCGCCCCCGTCGTCTAGCCGTCGATAAGTTAGCCATAGCCAAGGCTGAATTCAGTCACATGATGGAGCTAGGCATAGTTAGGCCTTCCACTAGTCCATGGGCTGCACCACTACATATGACGTGTAGAAAGTCTCTCGTTGACTGGTGCCCATGCGGGGATTACCGACGGTTAAACACCTGCGCTGTGCCTGATAGGTATCCACTTCCCCATTTCCACGACTTTTCATCTAGCCTAGCCGGAGCAACAATATTTTCCAATATCGACTTAGTCAAAGCTTTCCATCAGATACCCGTTGCTCCTGAAGACGTTCCCAAAACGACGGCAACAGCAGCGTTTGGTCTGTTCGAGTTTGTCAGGATGCCTTCTGGGCTTCGCAACTCTGCTCACGATTTTCAGCGTTTCCTCAACGAGGCTCTCCGCAATTTACCTTTCGTTTTTGTTTAGGTCAACGATGTTCTGGTAGCAAGTTCCAGTGAACACGAGCACCTACAACATTTGCGTCTCATTTTTGAACGATTGAGCCAATTTGGCGTTTTTATTAATGTTTCTAAATGCGTTTTCGGTGTACAGTCTCTGTTTCTCCTAGGACATCGCGTAGATGATTCTGGTTGTCATCCCATAGATGCCAAAGTGTCAGCTATTCTCGATTTCCCTACTCCCACTTCTTTTCCACAACTGTGCCATTTTATAGGCCTTGTCAATTTCTATCGAAGTTTTGTCCCTCATTATGCTCAATCAATGTTACCACTTACTAACCTTTTACACGGGAACAACCGCGAGTTTTCTTTTTCTGACACAGCTGTGGAGGCTTTCAATCGTGCCAGGAAGGCACTTGCGGATACAGCTGCCCTTGCTCACCCTATAACTGATGCCCCACTTCCCATTGTGGCCGACGCCTCTAATTTCGCCATAGGTGCTGCCCTTCAGCAACAGACGCCCACTGGCACCCAGCCCTTGGCTTTATACTCTGCCAAATTGATACCTCCACAAACTCGCTATAGCACTTTTGGTAGAGAACTTCTTGCAACTTATTTAGCCATTAAGCATTTTCGTAATTATATTGAGGGCCGAGATTTTTGTATTTATACTGACCACAAGCCTCTTACTTATGCCCTTTCTACTTCTTCTGACAAGTATTCACCCCGCGAAACCCGCCATCTCGATTTTATTTCTCAGTATACCACCGAAATTCGATTTCTTAAAGGCCTTTTTAACCAAGTTGCTGACTGTCTTTGTCGGCCTGGAATTAATGCCATCACCCGCCCTTCCATCGATTTGGAGCGCATGGCAGAGTTGCAAAACCAGCCGACTTCCACTAAGAGCCTTCAACACACTAGTCTTCAGCTGGAGGCCATTCCTCTTTCCACCTCCTCCGGTACAATCTTGTGTGACGTATCGCGCGGTGCCTCCCGACCCGTACTGCCAAGCGAGATGAGACGAGATCTTTTTGCTGCGTTGCACAATCTGGCTCACCCTGGCATCCGCACCATCCAGTGCCTCATCAGCGAGCGTTTCGTTTGGTCAAGCATGAACACCGATATCCGCCAGTGGATCAGTTCATGTCTGGCCTGTCAGAAGGCCAAAGTCGGACGGCACAACAAAGCCCCCATTGGCACTTTTCTCGCACCCAACGCACGTTTTGCACATGTGTATATCGATCTGGTGGGTCTTTTTCCAACATCTCGTGGTTGCAGATATTTATTTACTGCGATTGACCGATTTACTCGTTGGCCCATTGCAACTGCCATACCTAGCATAACTGCAGATTCCGTTGCTCATGCCTTTTTGGAACACTGGATCTCTCATTATGGCGTCCCCTTAACTATTACCATTGATGGAGGCCAACCATTTGAGTTTCGACTTTTTAACAGCCTTACCGACCTCCTCGGATGCTCTCGCATACGCACGACAGCATACCGCCCCTCATCCAACGGCTTAGTCGAGCGTTTCCACCGTCAACTCAAAGCCTCGCTCCGAGCTCATGACAACCCTTCCCATTGGAGCGAGCATCTGCCTTTGGTCATGCTCGGTATCCGTACCGCACTCAAGCCCGACTTGGAGTGTTCTGCTGCCGAACTTGTCTACGGTACCACCCTACGGATTCCCGGGGATTTTTGCGGGTACTCTCAGAGCTCAGGCGACTTGGATTCGAGCGATTATGTTCGAAGATTGCTCCAAGCCATGACTCATCTTCGAGCCACTCCTCCACGTCCTTCAACAAGTAAGTCGTACATTGACCCGAACTACTAATATGTTCTTTTGTGTTTGTCCGCGTAGACAGCGTTCGTCGGTCACTACAACAGCCCGATGACGGCCCATTTCGAGTACTATCTCGCACGCACGAGCATTTTACAATTGACCGTGGAGACCGCAGCGACGTGGTCTCAGTCGATCGCTTGAAGGCGGCTTATACCGGGCCCCTTTGAACTTCCCCAACCGAACAACCTCCACTCGTTACATTGCCACTTATTTCCAGTAATACACCTACGCCCAATAACCCTACGTTTTCCCCTATCCCACAGACTCCTTCTCTTACGCGCAGCGGTCGTCATGTCCGTTTTCCCGACCGTTACCAATTTGTACAATATGCATAACACTCCCACCCTTTTATTCTATCAATAATAATTTTTTTGAACACCGTTCTCCTAGCGGGAGGAGTATTCTAGTGACATTTGAGTCTGTTTTGTTTTACTCAGTCACAATACGTTTTTTAAAAGAACATGACACAACTTTGAATAGGGCATAGAACAAGCACGTGCACTTCTACCTGCTGGCGACTTTGTTCTTATTTACTAGTTTGTAACTATTGGGGTACTGCTACCTTCGTTTCCTGGATAGCCTACTTACTGCCCATTAATCCTTTCTACCAATATGTTGCCACGGATTCCCGCCGACCGGGAAGGCAAAGACGATGCTACAAATATATTCTTACGAACCCTCTGAAACGACTCAAGATGAACTCAGAGACCTGGGAGGACCTCGTCCAGATAAGACTCACTTGGAGCAGGGAGGTGAAGACTGGCGCAGCCATTTACGAATGAAATTGGATCGTCGCCGCCCAAGCCGAAATGGAGGCCCGCAATTATTAGGCTACTCCGATTTGCAATTCCGCCATTTGACCCCAGCCGACGTGCCCGCGCTGTCAACAAACTTTTTGCGTGCGCATCGGCCTCGTCGATCATCTTCTGACCTAATGCACCAGCCGCCCGACGACCACAATTGCTGCCTCCACAACCACGCCTGTCTCGACCTCAACGTTGGTCACTTCGGCGTCCAACCCCACCAACGTTGCTGAGAATCTCCGTGGTGCACTGCCGTCCACCACTACCACCTCTACTATACCTGCACAGCTACCGCGGCGACGAAGAACATAACCACCGTTGTCACTAACGCCGCCTACCAAAACGCTCCTGAGGCCACAACAACCATCAGCACATTCATCATCACCACCTCCACACCCAGACATGTGCATCCGGTCTAAACCTGTCCCTAATGCTATCGCACTTTTACCTCACTCATCGGCCTGGTCGGTCATCTGCGAATCCATCGCACAGAGACTGTCGTACCATTGCCTGGGGTACCAGCATACACTCGCCGCATCCGCCTCCACTGTCCGCGCCCACTGATTCACCGCACGGGCCTATTCGATCACACACATACAGCTAGTTACCTGACTCAAGAAATGTGTCGAAATTTACGAATGAATCCCAATCACTCACAAACCGACACCATTTCATGAGTCAACTGTGTATGTTAATTAAGTACAAGGTTAAAAGAAATAAAAACATAAAAGATATATTAAAGTCAGTGTTGCGCTGTTCAGAAATGCCGATTTATTTTGAAAACCGCAATATCCCAAAAACGTCAGAAATGGCTCTGATTAAGTAAAGTTCGTTTATAGATGTAGAGAATGTATTCTCATATCAAAACGTAGTAAATATGAAAGTAGACATAAAATAACGTCTAATAACAGTGTTTTAGTGATGTTTGCATCTACATATCGTTTAATAAGTGGTGTGATTTCATATATGACGGTTTGCCAACCGTCTACATTCTGGTTGTAGATTCCAAAAGAGATTTCCAGTGTTTCGTGCTTTCCTTGACTATTTGGAGTTAAATGAGATGGGATTCAACAAGAGAAGTTGGATTTTGCTTGATTTCGCCGATGGGGACGTCGTAGGAACAAAAGATTTCATTAAGTGATATGCCATGAGGCCGGTCGGTGCCTAAGAAATTTAAATAGAACTGACAGGCGTGATCGTAAACATACCATTTTGTGTTTATGGAGAGAAATTTTCTGCCGTTAAATTGATTTAAACTTTTCCTTCGTTTTGAATTACGCTGAGTTTCATATCGGCCTCGAAATATTGCTGAATACTTCATGATTTTCAGTGTTTTCACCCGATCGCACATAAAAAAGATTCTGAATTACCTGTCTGTTGGGAAATTTAAAATAAGATTGATCTTGAGGGCATTTACCGAATTAGTGAGGTTTCGGGCGCTCCTTTTCACGAAGATGGTGATTTGGGTCACATGTGAAGACTCATTCAAACATCAAACTTCTTTTTCGAGAAAAATATCTGCTTACAACGAATGTCACCAACGAATAGGTCTTGGATTAATAAGAAAACTTTCCTTAATAAGTTACCTCTTTAGGAAGTGCTTTGTTGCTGCACGGCGTTGACGGATCTCTGCGTACTTTGCATTTTTGCACGAAGAGGCCGAGTAAAAATTGGACAATTTTGGCAGTTTCTTTCACGCTCCTGAGCAATACTAATATGTTTCTACTGTAAACGCAAGGACATGCCTTTCTCTATACATTGAGGCCATTTCCACTGTTTTGCTCGCTTTTAGACTCCGTGCTTTAATTATGAATGCACGACAGAGCGCCCATATAAATACTGATATTTTTCTGAAACTATAAATGTCTTGCTCGTTCTATTTCTCAATAAAGTATGCACAGAAGCTAAACTACACAACAAGTAGTGTTTCATATCGTAAAAGCTGGAAATGACAATTTCGTGGTGGTCATCTATGTGGCATCAGGTAGAATTTTCCAAACGGCAAAAAAATTTCAGCTCACTTAAACGAAAGAATCCCCATCTGCGTTATTACTGAACTTTAGGGCACCAAATCGCACAGATCTGCTAATTTGACATTTAGAAATTGATAAAACCTTTGGTTTTCTTAAAATAACCTTTGTGTTAGCAGGTTTATCACCACGGCTCACAGCGGACATAAAAGAAAATTTATAGTCCGGCTAAATCTGTGTATTAAAACTCTGGAGGTTAAATTACTATCCTTTCAATGAAAAAGTCGCTCAGATGCGTAACTGGAGTCTAGGACATGCATTAGCACAGGAAATTCCACGACTATATTTTACCGTCTACTTTCGCAAAAATTTACCGATAGTTTACTTGCCATAATTACGTAAACACAATTTCTGAACAAGAAAAGGACATTTCATTGAAAGATGTAGGTGAGCGAACAAAATGCGCAACGTTAAAGGCGTCCAGAAATTCTCCCATCAGATTCCGTTATCAGATTTCATGAGATAGGTCACATACTGTACATGACAGCGGAATACGACAGTTCGACCGTCGATTTCGACGATGTCCACCGTGTGCCCCACAGACTGCATTGTGAGAGCAGGGACGGTGACTTACGCAGGTGGTTTATAGTGCCTGTAGACTTGCGTAGCATCTACCTACACTCTCTCCTCCTCCCCCGCCTGAGCCCGGTGTCAAGACAGAGTCAAGAAGACCGGAGACGGGGGAGGCCGCAGGTGGATGGCTCGGACGGATCCTCACCTTGGCGCTCCACTCCGCACCCCCTAGTCCACACACAAATGACCAGGATTTGACCACAAAACAATGGGGTGATGGCAGTGGTCCAGTTGTGCGACGAATGCCGACAACAGGGTCCGCCAGCGCACCCCGCAAATGTTGGCATTTGTTATTACGCAAAGATAACGCCTGCCAGATTCCGATGTGGCCCCCTTGTTGGTCCAGCGCATCTAACACGTGACCCGTTTAGAGGGCACACAGTGGAATACAATACAGTATTGACATACCTTACACACCCACCACCACCAGCTCAATCGTCTATCCATTTCCTTTGCGCACCCACCCCTAACGGCAGCAGTATCGCGGCAGGTTAGGCCTAGAGCGAGACCCTGACTATCAGGGCCTTCAAACCCTGTCCTGAATGGAAAGTGAAGGCGGACGGTATTGGGAGGATAATAATAACTGAAGGAGGGATTTGGCAGCCGGACGAGTGCACAGCCTGCGCCGTGTGAATGGCGTCCCCAGTGTGTGAGCGAATGCGTCACAGCGTCTTAGGTTAGGACGCGTCTGACTCGGCCTTGAATCTGATTGGCCACTTGGAGAGCCGGGTGGGCGAATACCAGACAGTCCTGGTGCACACATGCGGACACTCGCGAGAGGCCCGGCGTTGAGACCGGCGGTCGGAGTAGGGCCACTGCAGCAGCACTACTGTGCCGAGGCGCCAGACTGCCTTGCCTTTTCCTACCTGTTCCTCATTCTTGAACTTACTGGTTGTTTAACTGAATGGAAGGAACACAACTCGACGCGACGCGCTTGGCATGAGTTGGATTTTTAGGTCGTTTGACTTTTGATTGTTAATTCTTTCATAACTTTGATCTTATCCTGATATTCATAGTCTGGGATTGACGGTTCTGTGTTTAGCGCTCGCTACAGTGGTGACCCTTTGACGTTCACGCTTATACCTTTAATTTGTTGACTTTCTATATGCATACCGTCCGTTCGCCTTCTTTCTTTCTACAATCATGACCTCTACGCATTCCAACGATCCCACTACTTCTTTCAGGGGACTTGTTGCTTCTCTCCCAGACTTTTGGCAACATGCGCCAGAGCTTTATTTTTTCCGTATTGAGGCGACTTTTCACTCCGCCAAGATAACACGTAAAACCGACAAGAATTATAAGTTGGTCGAGGCCCTTCCTCCCACCATTCTTTCTCAAGTGCAGACGCTTCTGAGAGATCCCCCGACTGATGCTCCCTACACCAAGTTAAAGGCTGAACTTCTTCGCCTGACATCAGTCTCCGATCGGCAGCGTTATCACGCGATAGTAAAAGAGGAGGCCTTAGATGATCGCAAGCCGTCGGAACTCTTGCGTCGTATACGTTCTCTGGTTGGGAACATGAAAATCGACGACAAGTTCTTTAAAGAGATGTTCTTAGAACGTCTACCGACGTCGGTACAAACAATCTTGGCCTCTGGCTCCGACGACCTAGACATATCAGAGCTAGCGGAGATGGTTGACCGTATGACCTTCCGCCAGCTGAAGGCCTCCCTGCGCGCCGCGGCCGATCCGGAGAACTGGACGGACCACCTTCCCCTGGTCCTCTTGGGCATCCGCTCCGCTCTGAAGCCGGACCTTGATTGTTCCTCAGCTGAACTGGTGTTCGGCGCCACCGTCCGACTCCCCGGTGAGATGATCTCGTCAACCCCGCAAGGTGCAGTTGAGGATCCTGCCAACCTCCTGCATCGCCTCCAGCAGTTTATGCGGACACTTTCTCCGGTTCCTCCCAGTTCCTCCGCCTCTCCGTCTTATCTCGAGAAGGACTTGACAACGTGCTCTCACGTCTACCTTCGATGTGATCGAGTCCGCCGGCCTCTGGAACCGCCCCATGACGGCCCATTTCGGGTGCTCTCTCCCGGGCCGAAGACTTTCCGCATTCAGCGCGACAATCGTGAAGAGGTCGTGAGCGTGGACCGTCTCAAAGCTGCCGTCCCGGACACTCCTCTGGATGAGCCCTGTGGTCCCCCACCTTCTGCTTCCTACCACGCAGCCTCTTTTTCACCGTCCCGTATTTTCCCTCTGTCCTCCTGTCCGCTACCTCCGACTGCCACCACCGACTCCAACACTTCCGCCACCAGATGTATTCACTCTTCTACGGACCCTTTATATATCACTCGCAGTGGTCGTCATGTACACTTTCCTGATCGGTTGGTCACTCATTTCTTTTAGACCTCTACAGATCCTTCGGCGTCGTTTTCGCCGCCCTCCGGTCTCGGAGGGGGGTACTGTGCCGAGGCGCCAGACTACCTTGCCTTTCCCCACCTGTTCCTCATTCTTGAACTTACTGGTTTCTTAACTGAATGGAAGTACACAACTCGACGCGACGCGCTTGGCATGAGTTGGATTTGTCTGGTCGTTTGACTTTTGATTGTTAATTCTTTCATAACTCTGATCTTATCCTGATATTCATAGTCTGGGATTGACGGTTCTGTCTTTAGCGCTCGCTACACTACTATCACCACCACCCGAACCGACTATGTGGCTCCCGACCTATCCTGCCCACTCTGTCACCGCACATTCACCCTACGCATCGGCCTGGTCGGTCACTTACGGACCCATCGCATTGAGGTTGGCGATCCAGCCCCTGAATCACCAACATACTCCAGGGGCACTCGCTCCAAATGTCCGCATTGCCTTGTACATTCAGCCACCGTATGGGCCCTTTCCGCCACATGCGCATTCATGAATACCTGCGGCAAACCACTGCAGAAATGACCACATCACCACATATTTCCCCACCAACACATGCGCAACGCATACGACTCTCCTGAATCCCACAACACCGGTACCTCTCATGAAAGTCGGAAGTGTGTTTCTCAGCTCCTACTCCGTGCGCTCCATCTGCTGAATGTGTGATCTGAGCCTGAGATTATCACCGGCGTCAAGCGCCGTAGCGTGGGGGGTTGCCAACTGACGCTCCAACGCAGTCCTTATAGCCAACCCAGTTGTGTGTTTGTATTGAGAGGCTGATCGGTGGACTGAGAGTGAGGCTGCAATGGCTCCTTCTTAATATAAAGTTTGTGGAATTCCCACTCCGCGGGATCCGAGTCGGGTGGGGCGGCACGCCTACGGGCGGCTCAAGCCGCGTTAGCCAACTGCATCCTCTCCCGCCCTCGGTCTTCTTGGCTGTCTTGGCACCGGGCCCAGGTGAGGAGGAGGGGATAGTGTGGTAGGCGCTACGCAGGTTCATTCTCAATATAAAAGAAATCACGCGCAAGTCACTGTGCCTGCACTCACTCTGTTGTGGGGCGCACGGTGGACATCATCGGTCACGGCGGTCAAACTGTCACTAAGTCGTCGTCTCCAATGGCGTACGCAAAGGGCCAGTCAGGAGCTGGCCGACTATTCTGAAGGCCCGAACGCTCCTCATATGCGTGCACCTGGCTAGTACGTGTTCGCCGAAGCGCGCACAAGGAAGTTCTAGAAACCAGTCAAGAAAATAAAAGAAGCCCATAAGTAAGCTTGATTTGTGCTTATGGTCAGTAACGGCTTGTCTTCTGAACCGCCTTGACCGTCTCATTGCATACATAACTGGCAACACAGGTGGAGCAATGCGATATCAGAAGAATATATGAGACACATACTGGAAGCACAACAGGCCATTTTCATGGAGATTGGCATCCGGAGAGAACAGATTTCTCTTACGATCCCGAAGGAGACGTGAATTTGGATGCCTAGTTTAGAAAGTATGAGGGATTGTTAACAGGGGAGAGAGCAGTACTCGGCGACAAAATGAAGGTGGAGATACTGTTTCTAGAACTGGCTCGGCGTGAACACAGGCGGTACGTAAAGTTTATTCTACCTCAGAAATCAACCGGTGTTTCATTTAAAAACAGTAGAACTTCTCTTACACAAAGTTGATATTCAATCAAACTTTCGAGCGTTCGAGACTGGAACACAGCACGCAAGTACCTAGCACGCACACTTAAGCGTTTTTGTTAAGTCGCCGAAATTGTCAAATGATGCGGATATGTGTGTGTGTGTGTTGTGCCCTCAAAACGGGCCACGTGTTAGATGCGCTGGACCAACACGGGGGCCACATCGGAATCTGGCAGGCGTTATCTTTGCGTAAAAACAAATGCCAACATTCGCGGGGTGCGCTGGCGGACCCTGTTGTCGGCATTCGTCGCACAACTGGACCACTGTCACCACCCCATTGTTTTGTGGTCAAAATCCTGGCCATTTGTGTGTGGACCAGGGGGTGCGGAGTGGAGCGCCAAGGCGAGGATCCGTCCGAGCCATCCACCTGCGGCCTCCTCCGGCTCCGGTCTTCTTGATCTGGTCTTGACACAGGGCTCAGGCGGGGGAGGAGGAGAGAGTGTAGGTAGATGCATCGCAAGTCTACTGGCACTATAAACCCCTGCGCAAGTCACCGTCCCTGCTCCCACAATGCAGTCTGTGGGGCACACGGTGGTCATAGTCGAAATCGACGGAAGATCTGTCGTGTGCGTGTGTGTGTGTGTGTGTGGGCCGAGCACTTCCGAGGCGTCCTCAACCACCCTTCCGTCATCTCCGACGCCGCCATCGCCCGCTTGCCGAAAGTGGAGACCAACGTGGACCTTGACCTCCCGCCATCTCTCCAGGAAACGATCAGGGCCGTGCAGCAACTCTCCAGCGGGAAAGCACCCGGATCGGACGCAATCCCTGCTGAGGTCTACAAGCACGGAGGTCCCCTACTGATGGATCACCTTACTGCGCTCTTCCAGGAGATGTGGCGTCAAGGTGAAGTCCCGCAAGACTTCAAGGACGCAACTATCGTGCACCTATACAAGCGCAAAGGGAATCGCCAAGTCTGCGACAACCACCGCGGCATCTCCCTACTGAACATCGCCGGGAAGATCTTCGCTCGCATCCTCCTCAACCGCCTCAACAACCATCTGGAACAGGGCCTTCTACCGGAAAGTCAATGCGGCTTCCGTCGTCATCGTGGGACCACGGACATGATCTTCGCAGCCCGCCAACTCCAGGAGAAGTGCCAGGAGATGCGGACTCACCTGTACTCTACCTTCGTGGACCTGACGAAAGCCTTCGACACGGTGAATCGTGAAGGATTGTGGAAGATCATGCAGAAATTCGGCTGTCCGGAGCGATTCACTCAGATGGTGCGTCAGCTGCACGACGGTATGATGGCGCGAGTCACGGACAACGGAGCTGTCTCAGAGGCATTCGCAGTGACCAATGGAGTGAAGCAGGGCTGTGTGCTGGCGCCTACCCTCTTCAGTCTCATGTTCTCTGCCATGCTGATGGACGCCTACCGCGACAAACGCCCTGGAATCCGCATCGCCTATAGAACGGACGGTCATCTCCTGAATCATCGGCGCATGAACTTCCAATCGCGTGTATCCACAACTACCGTGCACGAACTCCTCTTCGCCGACGACTGCGCCCTGAACACCACCTCCGAAGCGGAGATGCAACGGAGCGTGGACCTATTCTCCGCCGCCTGCGAGAACTTTGGGCTGGTTATCAACACGCAGAAGACGGTGGTGATGCATCAGCCGCCTCCCAACTTAGCCACAGCCCCGAGCGCGCCGCCGCAAATCAACGTGAATGGGACTCAACTGCAAGTGGTAGAGAACTTTCCGTACCTGGACAGCACGCTCTCCCGCCACACCAAGATCGACGACGAAGTCGCCAACAGGATCTCGAAAGCCAGTCAAGCCTTCGGTCGCCTCCAAAGCACAGTTTGGAATCGTCATGGTCTCCAACTGAGTAAATAGCTGAAGATGTACAAGGCCGTCATCCTGCCGACGCTACTGTACGGAGCGGAGACCTGGACGGTGTACACGAGGGAGGCACGTCGACTAAACCACTTCCACCTCAGCTGTCTCCGCCGCATCCTGAGGCTGAACTGGCAGGACCGCATCCCCGACACCGAAGTGCTGGAACGGACGGGAATTCTAAGCATCTACTCTATGTTGATACAAATGCAGCTTCGCTGGATCGGCCATCTGGTGCGCATGGACGACGAGCGACTACCCAAACGACTCTTCTACGGAGATGTCGCGACGGGTTCTCGTCGTCAAGGAGGCCAAATTCGCCGTTACAAGGATACTCTGAGGTCCTCCCTGAAGCGCCTGCACATCAACCCGACCAACTGGGAAGAGCTCGCCCGCGATCGTCCGACATGGAGGAGAACAGTGAAGACGGGCGCTGCAATCTCTGAAGCCAACCGAATCGCCGCCGCCAAAGCGAAACGCGAAGTCCGCAAATCACAACTTCGCCCAATACGCAACGCCGCCGCAGAACCTCTCCCTACATGTCCTCGATGTCAACGGACATTCCGGGCACGAATCGGACTTGTTGGACATCTTCGAACCAACTGCACCTCTCGAACTGCCCCAGCCATCGTCCCCCCGCCCGCCTCTTCCTCGTCCTCTCTTCCGCCAACTAACTCTGACACTCCTTCTGCACCACCACTTCCATCCTCCTCCTTCTCCTCCACTGCCCCAGCGGTGGCCGTTCAGGCTGCCGTCTCACACATCGCCAACCAAGACACAGCAACCGCAACCACCCCCACCCCTCCTGATTCCAGTGATGAGGATCAGGACTACACCTGCCCTCACAGCGACCGCACCTTCACCTCACACATCGGCCTGGTCGGTCACTTGCGAATCCATCGCACAGAGACTGGCGAACCAGTGCCTGGAGCACCAACCTACACTCATCGCACTCGCCTCCACTGCCCACACTGCCCTCGCACCTTCACTAATCGCATGGGTCTATTCGGTCACATGCGCATCCACGAGAGCGGAATAGACCGCAGCCTTGACACACCCACCCCGCCGAGCCCCACTCCCAATCCACCACCTTGTGCACCCACTAACCACGCCCCAGCCGACATCGACGCCACCGACCTTACCACCCCTCACTCCTCCCCTTCCTCCTCCTCTTCCTTCATCACTGCCACAACGACGGCCACTCCGGCGTCTGTAGCGCACGACTTCACCACAGCCGTACCTGACACAACAACAGGCACAAGCCCTGCAACCTCCATCATCAGACGTGAGGGCCAGGACTACATCTGCCCTCACTGCGATCGCACCTTCACTTCACGCATCGGCCTGGTGGGTCACTTGCGAATCCATCGCACAGAGACTGGCGAACCAGTGCCTGGAGCACCAACCTACACCCACCGCACTCGCCTCCACTGCCCACACTGCCCTCGCACCTTCACGCATCGCATGGTTCTACTCGGCCACATGCGCATCCACGAGAGCGGAATTGACAACAATTCCGATACAGCCACGACATCCAACACATCCACCACGCCCAGACCCATCCTCGCTCCACCGTCACACGCGCCGACCATCACCACCG